TCTCGTTGTGTTTCCGTGTTGTCCTCCTAGCCTTTGGCAGCTGTGCCCCCCATTGTGTTACCCCGCACTGTGTCTGCTGGAGGCGCCCCATTATTTCCCTATTTATTTCCCTATTGTTTTCCCTATTTGTTCCCTATTATTTCCCTATTTTTTCCCCTATTACTTCCCTATTTTTTTCCCTATTTTTTTTCCCTATTATTTCCCTATTGTTTTCCCTATTTGTTCCCCTATTATTTCCCTATTTTTTCCCCTATTACTTCCCTATTTTTTTCCCTATTTTTTTCCCTATTATTTCCCTATTTTTTCCCTATTTGTTCCCTATTATTTCCCTATTTTTTCCCCTATTACTTCCCTATTTTTTTCCCTATTTGTTTCCCTATTATTTCCCTATGTTTTCCCTATTTGTTCCCCTATTATTTCCCTATTTTTTTCCCTATTACTTCCTTATTTTTTCCCCTATTTTTTTCCCTATTATTTCCCTATTTTTTCTTTATTTGTTCCCTATTATTTCCCTATTACTTCCCTATGTTTTTCCCTATTGTTTTCCCTATTTTTGTCCCTATTGTTTCCCTATTTTTTCCCTATTTGTTCCCTATTATTTCCCTATTTGTTCCCTATTATTTCCCTATTTTTTCCCTATTTGTCCTTTATTACTTCCCTATTTTTTCCCCTATTTTTTTTCCCTATGATTTCCTTATTTTTTTCCCTATTACTTCCCTATTTTTTTTCCCTATTATTTCCCTATTTTTTCCCCTATTACTTCCCTATTTGTTTCCCTATTTTATTCCCTATTATTTCCCTATTTTTTCCCTATTTGTTCCCTATTTATTTCCCTATTGTTTTCCCTATTTGTTCCCTATTATTTCCCTATTTTTTCCCCTATTACTTCCCTATTATTTCCCTATTTTTTTCCTATTATTTCCCTATTTTTTCCCTATTTGTTCCCCTATTTATTTCCCTATTGTTTTCCCTATTTGTTCCCTATTATTTCCCCTATTTTTTTCCCTATTACTTCCCTATTCTTTTCCCTATTTTTTTCCCTATTATTTCCCTATGTTTTCCCTTTTTTTCCCCTATGTTTTCCTTATTTGTTTCCCTATTTTTTTCCGTATTATTTCCCTATGTTTGTTCCCTATTTGTTCCCTATTATTTCCTTATCTTATTCCCAATTATTTCCCTATTATTTCCCTATTATTGCCCTATTTTTTCCCTATTTTTTTCCCTATTTTTTCCCTATTCTGTACCTATTTTTTTCCCTATTATTTCCCTATTTCTTTCCCTATTTTTTTCCCTATTATTTCCCTGTTATTTCCCTATTTATTTCCCTATTTTTTTCCCTATTTTTTCCCTATTATTTCCCTATTATTTTCCCTATTTGTTCCCTCTTATTTCCCTATTTTTTGCCCTATTATTTCCCTATGTTTATCCTATTTTTTTCCCTATGTGTTCCCTATGTGTTCCCTATTTTTTCCCCTATTATTTCCCTATTTTTTCCCCTATTACTTCCCTATTTTTTTCCCTATTATTTCCCTTTTTTTCCCCTATTTGTTCCCTGTTATTTCCCTATGTGTTCCCTATTTTTTCCCCTATGTTTTCCTTATTTTTTCCTATTATTTCCCTATTTGTTCCCTATTTTTTTCCCTATTTGTTTCCCTATTATTTCCCTATTTTTTCCCTATTATTTCCCCATTTTTTCCCTATTATTTCCCTATTATTTCCCTATTATGTCCCTATTTTTTCCCTATTATTTCCGTATTTTTATCCTTTTTTTTCCCTATGTGTTCCCTATTTTTTTCTCTATTTGTTCCCTATTATTTCCCTACGTTCCCTATTTTTGTCCCTATTATTTCCAAATTTTTCCCTATGTTTTTCCCTATTTGTTCCCTATTATTTCCCTATGTTTTCCCTATTTGTTTCCCTATTATTTCCCTATTATTTCCCTATTTTTTTCCCTATTTGTTTCCCTATTATTTCCCTATTTTTTCCCTATGATTTCCCTAGTTTTTTCCCTATTATTTCCCTATTATTTCCCTTTTTTTCCCCTATTATTTCCCTATTTTTCCTTCATTACTTCCCTATTTTTTCCCCTATTTTTTTCCCTATTATTTCCCTACTTTTTTCCCTATTACTTCCCTATTTTGTCCCTATTTTTTTCCCTATTATTTCCCTATTATTTCCCTATTTTTTCCCCTATTACTTCCCTATTTTTTCCCCTATTTTTTTCCCTATTATTTCCCTATGTTTTTTTTCCCTGTTATTTCCCTATTTTTTCCCTATTATTTCCCTATGTTTTCCCTTTTTTTCCCCTATGTTTTCCTTATTTGTTTCCCTATTTTTTCCCTATGTTTTCCTTATTTGTTTTTCCCTATTATTTCCCCATTTTTTTTCCGTATTATTTCCCTTTATCCCCTATGTGTTCCCTATGTGTTCCCTATTTTTTCCCCTATTTGTTCCCTATTATTTCCCTATTTGTTTCCCTATGTTTTCCTTATTTGTTCCG